CCAACCCGTTTTGTACACCAACAAAAATTGCTAAAACTAGCTTATACTAAAAGGAATCATTATTAAACTTGAATCTCCTTGACTTTCTCTCAGTGCATCTCTCAAATAAAGCCAACCCGAACCCAATTCACTATCCCACAATCGTCCGACGCTTCGTCGCACTCGCTGTTGCTTCGTCGCACTCGCTCAACATCTGTTCGTTGTTCAGTTGGTTGCTCGGTTCGTTCGCTCGTTGGTTGCGTTCGACAAACGCGGGAGTTGACTGGGCGCCCAGCTTTTCCAGCAGGCGAATCGAGTGGGAAAATCCTCCTAATGGAAAATGCGCTTAGCACTGTATGGAGCAAGAGAGAGAGAGAGTGGCGGAGAGAGAAAGAGAAATAAAGGGAGAGAGGCAGAGAAAGGACACGCAAGAGCGAGTGAGAGGCAAAAACGAGAGCTAAAGTTGAAAGTTAAATTGAATTGAGGTGGGCCAAGTGTGGCCTGGAGGGTTGAAGGCCCCTGGGGTCCCTTCGGGTGGTTTGTAACCGGAGAAAGGTGGCCCCCAGAGGTGAGAGGGATGGATGGGATGGCTGGGATGGCTGGATGGTGATGGTGATAGCACGGGGTGGAGTGAATGAATTTGTTGGGCCATCAAAATGACTTTCAGCATGTGGAAGCCGCTGCTTAGCATGTTTCCTGACAGCCACGTGCGGATAGAGCGAAAGAGAGCGAGTGTGTGAGAGAGAAGGATGCCTTGATATTTGTCCTTCGCCCGTCTCGCTTTTGGCTTTGTGTGTGTGTGAGTGGCACTGTGAAAATGAGGCGCAAATTTTGTGGCCGAGCAAACAGAACACGAATAAAAGGCCGAAAAAGGTTCAACAAATGGTTGGAAACCAAAAACCGAAACCCCCGAAAAATACACAGCCCAGGCGTATATACTATTTTGTAATGATATGAGGGCAAATAGTGGTTATGGTGAAGTGGTTTGAATTATAGGGAGAGTTAAGAGCAGGATCCTTAGATGTTATGAGGGTAAAAGTAATTAATAAGGAAAATATAAAATTATCTGAAAAGAGTATGGGGTTTAATTTATTTAAAGGGAATCTTATTCATAGATTTCCTTTAATTAAAGCCATAAAATTTTCTTAAAATTCCCCTATAATTCCCTAGTCTTAAGTCAACGTTTCCCTTATTTTTTAAGCCATTGTTTAGACTCTTAACATTACTTAACCAACTTTTCCACTTAATTTGAACGTATATCTATCTGTTAGGGCTCTGTTAACTTATTTTTCCCCTGGGCTTCTGTAATTTCTTGGTGGTTTGTGGAGTTAAACGGGTATCGGGTATCTCCTTGTCCAGCTCTTTCGACTGGGCGCCCAGAACTGGACAGCAGGCCACCGCCCATAAAACTCAGGATAAATACACTCTCTCATACACACACACACATTTTCCATTTTCACCCCCTTTTGTGTGTGTGTGTGTGTGGTATCTCCCTCTCTCACACTCTGAGATGCTTGAAAATTATGTCAACGAGTTCTGTTGATTTTCCCCATTTCGTTTGGCTTTTATTTCTGCCTTCCTTCGTCTCTGGCCCCATTTTCACCCGCCTCGCCTCGCTTCGCTTCGCTTTTCTTCCTTCTCTCCCTTTTTGTTTGGCATTTCCCATTTTCACTCGGCTGTAGCCTGGCGCTGGTTAATTACATTTTACAAAATTTGCTGTCAAGTAGTTAAGTTGGGTTAAGTCGAGCAAGGGCCAACATTTTCCCCAGCTTTCCCTGTTTTGTTGGTAATTTAATATTCGATTTTTGTAATTTTTATGCGCTGACCTTTTTGCATTTGCGGAATTTTCCTTTTTAATTATTTATTTGCGGTTGTGTGGGGGGGTTACATTTCGCTTCTTCTTTTTATTTTTTGGGAGGCGTGTCATCTCCACCCGCTATGTTCGCCCATCCGCAGATTAAAAGGAAAATCGTTTTGTATTTAATTATGCAGTCAGGTGATGGTAATTGGGGATTGTAATTCGGAATGTTCTCTGTCTGAAAGTGAACAGCAATGTTTGCATAATGTTTACACGTTCTACGAACGATTGTTGTTGTTGTTGTTGTGTGGGCGATTCCGTTGACCATTTCATAGAGTAGCCCTTGGATGTGTATATATCCTTTTATATACACCCTCTGGTACATAAGTAAATTCCACATTTTGGTTAACTTTCCGTGTGTTTTTGGCGAGGGGGGGAGAATTCAGCAAAAATATATTTTTAAAAGCTCAAGTCAGAGCGCACACAGATGGAGGCAAAAAATTGCATGCCGCCCAGGGACAGGGACAAAGTGAGATGCAAAGGATATGGCGGGGATAGCAAATAGTGGAAGGAGGTGAGGCACTGAAGAAGGACACGAAATAGGTATGCAAAGAGCTAGGTAAAAAGGGGATATACAGATGCCCTTGCTAGTGGTTTATAAAGTCAAGAATTCTATATTTTAAAATTATTTAAAATTGTTTTTAAAGGGAAAAGTTTTAATAATTGAAATTAAAAATATTAAAGGAATGTTAGGAATATAAAATATATTTTTTTATTAAGATTATACTTATTTTTATTAACTTTTATACTGATTTTAAACAAAAAAATGTTAATATTTGTTTTTAAAAATAATATAAACTAGCTTTTAGTCAACTTTAGCTAACATTTTCTTATATAAACATAATATATATTATTTATCATAATATTGAAATCACAAAGGAAACTGATTATCCCTTTTATATACCGATTTTCCAAGATCTTCTTTAAAGTTAGGGTAAAAAGTGCTTCTCCTTGCCAACGTAAAAGACAACCCAGCAAAAAAAAAGGAGGAAAATTGTGGCGCAAAATGTTACGCTTGCATCGAAATGGAGGAGAAAATGTGAAAGAGTGTGGGATGGAGGGTGGAGGGATCGAAAAAACTGAGGATTGGGTTTTTCCCAGTCAAGAGGAGAAAAGAGAAGTGAGGCACAAGGCAAGAGAGAGCGAACATGTTGGCTCCTACAATGACAGCAGCCTGCAACAGCCGGCGAAGGACGTTGCCAAAGGGGGGCGGGCAGAGTGGGTTGAAACGGTGGCAAAAGGCATTAAGCTGCGCCCACCCGCACATACACACACACACACACAAACAACGATGGGACATTATAGTCAGAAGGCGAATGATGCGTTTTCCATGAAAAACTCATACTCACATAGCGACATACTTTCACACAGATGGAAGAAAAGCGAAGAAGTAGAAGGAAAATAAGGAAAACTTGGCGCGACTTTCGACTACGTGAAGCTGTGAGCTTCAAAAGCGAAGGAAAACCCATACACATACACATTCATACACACTCTACAAGCGCCTAAGAGACATATTTCCCCCCGCACACGAGCTCCTATCCAAGCAGAGAGAGAAAAAAAGGAAAGAAAAAATAATGGAATCCATAAATTATTTGCACAAATATAATATCTTAATTTATTTAAACTTTAACACAACTATTTATAATCTTGAATAATTTTTGTGTAATTTTTAAAGCTTTTGCATTGATGAACAATCAAAATCTTACTCCGCTATAAGCCTTTTAAAATTGTTTAATAATTGTATGGAACTTACATATAAACAGAAAATTCTAGAAAGTAATTTTCCCAGTGCACTCACACAAGAGGAGAGGAAAAATGGCAACATAACTGTAGTGAAAATGTCAAGAGAGAAAAGATATTAAAACGTATTTGACTTCTGTGAGTTTTGGATGAAACGGTGGCTTGTGGGAGCGGTGGGGCAAGCAGCGAAGGATGGCAGGATGTGCGCCAGTGTGGCACAATGAAAAATATATAAAGAAGCCGCCACTCACACAAACACATCCGCTCCCACACACAAACACACACACATGTAGAGCGAGCTTATGACAAAAATAATAAAAATGGCTCAAGAAAAGAAAATGGCAAAAAACGAACTGAAATAAAAAAAGCAAGAAAAAACCTAAAAAAGCGGAAAAATAAAAAAAAATGACAGAGAGAAAGAGAAAATACAAGTATAAAAATGAATTTTAGATGACAGGCAAAGCAGCTTGCTGAGGGGGACTGGAGACTTGTGGAACTAGGGAGCCGGGGAAGGTTTGTCTTTGCAGTTAAGCAGACAAGTAAATGTTGTCCTTGTTGTTGCTCTCCCACACTCCTATCTCCCCCACCGACCCCAGAAGGAGGCGTGGCATTTGCAAGGAAACAGCAGCAGCAGCACCAGCAAAAAATAAAGGAAAAAAGGAAACCAAACCGAAGAGGAAAAATTGTGGAAAAGTTTTATGGGCAACAGCAGCAAAAATTGCAATATACCCAAGGCGTGGGTTGAGTTGGGGTCTTTAATGGGAGGGAATAGCCAAAAGTGGCCATGGGTGGGGTGCAGAAAAAAAATATGGTGGGGGGTGGCTGCCGTTGATGGCCGTGGAAAAGAGGATGGCGGCAGTGACAAGGATAAAACATGGGGAAGGGAAACCGAGATGAAGAGCTGAAAAATGGAAAATGGATGGGAAACCAATTTAAAGCGGAAGCGGCTTTGTAACAAAACGTAAGGAAATACTATAAGGATGTAGTTAAATCAGAGGAAAATATAAAAAAAAATTAAATCATATTTATTAATCTAATTAAGCTTATTTAAATTCAAACTATATTGTTTGTAATAATATTAATAAAAAATTATGATTTATAGTAGTTGTCTATTCCCTCTGCTCTATCCCAAATGTTGGCTAATTCTCTATTATATTTTTTTGGAACAATTCCCCATAGCAAAAACTGTCAGCATATGTTCCAAAAGGATTTTCAGGATACCAACAAAATACCCTGGAGACGAGCCCCCCCAACGAGTGAAAGACAAGGCATAAAAAATAAATGAATAACATAAAATAAATCATACGCCCCATCGGCCACCCAACAAAAAGTGAGCCAATACCGTAACCATTACCTCCCCAACCCCACCCAGGCCAGGATTTTATGCCGTCCTCGCAACCCCTCCCCCCCCCGTCCCCTTTTCATGGCGCTAATAAATGCTTATCGAAGACGCATAAAGCGAGTAAATTCGCAGCCATTAAACGGGCATAAAACTCGATGCCAGGGCCCCGAAACGAAAATTGCGGGGCCCGACAAATCAAAGTACACAAGCCTGAGGAGTCCTTTTCCTTATTTTTCCCCTATTTCCTTGCCATGAAATAAAAACCAGGCAACAATGAAACCCAAAGCGGCTCCCAAGCGATTTCGATGCGGGCATTCGACGGTCGGACCAAGGAATCAGCCACTGCCACCCACAAAACACGAACGAGCAGAAACCCCAAAGCCCACACCAAACCCCAAGTGAACCTTCCTCCGGCAGGACCTCTTCCTCGACACTCGCTATATAACCATCTTACCCAACGTTGACAGCATACAAAGTAACTTAAATCGAAACAATAAAGCGGCAACTTTGTTCGGAGTAAAAAAAATGCAAAAGAAAGCTAAAAGAATCCTGGAAAAAAGACGTAGAAGAAAGCTGAAAAAGAAACGAGCAAAAGTGTCGGGAAAATTAATGCAAGCGAAGAAGGAAATGCTCTTCTTTGCTGGGGGAAAATTATTTTTAAACTTTATTAACTCCTTTTTTTAAAAGGATAATACTGCCGAATATTAATAAATATATTTTTTGATGTCCTAAAAATATATCTTAAATTAAAGATATGAAACTCTTTGATATTTACCTGGAAAATATATTTTAATATCATATATTATATACAAATATTAAAATTATTTTCAAGAGTATTCAAAACCATATTTCCCTTTCACTATTCGATCGAAATTCCCATACCCCGAGCGTGGGTATTATTACAAAAAATGTAAGAAAAGTCGTGAAGGAAAGTTCCCAAAGAAATTGAGCACAGGAGCGTGGGGGAAACGGAGTGAAGGAGCGCACAAAAAAAATATATAAAGAAATGTAGAAAAGCGCAAATAAATGAATGAATAAAAGCGCCAAGGATAGCAAGGATACCGAGACACGAAGAGCGCAGAGTGGCAGGGTGAGCCAAAAGGAACAGAGTTCCACAAAGAAATTACAAAATGTATGCAACAAAAAAGGAAATATTACAAAAATGAAAAAAAGAAACACCGGTGGAAAAAAGAGAAGTTTTGGGAAATGGAAAACAGCGAGGGGGCAAGGGGGGGGCTCTGAAGGTGCAGCAACGCTGGAAAAATATTAATAAATCCCCACTACTGTGGGACAAGGATACCCACGGTTTCCCTTTCCCAATTTCCCAGACTACACCACGTCTCGTTTTTTCCGCGAAACACACGGCGTATGAGCAATATGTGAGGAGGGCAAAACGAGAACAGTGCAATCTGCAAGGAATAAAAACGTGCAAACATACTAACCAAGGGAGCGAAAAATATGAAAATTGCTAAATCAGGTTACTCTAACTAACTGTGAATTTAGATGAGGTTGTTGAATTGTATATTCGGATAAAAAATATATATTTAAATGGTTAGAAAATATTTTTGATAGGAGTTTGTTAGAAAGTTTAATTTTAGGAAATAGATTTGTAGAAAATTGATTTTTTCCTGATAAAGTATTAAGTTTTCCCCTAAAAATAACTTTAAAATTTGGAATTTACCTAAAAAATATATTTATTTATTTCTTTAAAAAATTGTCCCGCTAATTCTTTTCGTAATTAACCCCTATTTATGTACCCAATCCTTTTTTAAACTCTGTATAACCGGGTTAAAGCATCTGTTAACCTCGACCAAAGTTAAATTGTGGTTAAACTCTTCAGTCTTTTGTAGTTTACAATCAATTTATTGAGATGTTTATCCCCCCCAATTGCTCTCAACTAATCATCCGCTTGTCCGCACTTTCGCACGCCGCCCACATACCGCAAATAACGCCCCCACTCACACCCACTGGGTGCCGCCGCCTTTGGCTTAACCCACAACGACCAAAGGGTCGCAACCGGCAACCGCAGCCTCCCGGTACGACGGAGTTGCCACTCGAGCGACCACTAATCATAACGATAACACCTAATCAACCGCAACTCGGCGGGCCATCCAGCGGAGAGTCCGCAGAACGGAATCCTGAATCCGGATTCCGGAATCCCAATCGAAATCCGTAACCGAATCCAGGAGCAGCCCCCCGCCTAACACTCTCATTGAATCGAAAACCGAAAAAGGTTTCGGGCTAAATTAAATGAAACGTTGATAAGGCGCAAAAGGGCGCACTAAACGATTAAATCGAATGAGCGAGCAAATGAGAATGAGAAAGAGAGCGCCACCCACTGGTCACAGGGGGGGTTGACTTTTCCGCCCAGCCGAAAAGCGCACAGCTACACACAGCTGACAACTGACCCGTGGACCTGACGGAGGGCGGACGTGCCCGACTGACTTTCGGCACAAGTGCTCAGCGATGGCGAAAAGTGAATTTTCCGCTCGGCGCTTGCTTTTCTGCCGTGGAGGCGGCGGTTCCCGGGGGGTGGGTGAAACGGTTGCCAGTTGAATAATTTTCAGAGCCGACTGCAGTCGGCGGCGGGGGGAACAGAGCACGCAAGGCGAGAGGTGCAAGGGGTGCCAATGTTTTTCCCGAATCTAACAATGCCCACTAAGTTTTTCTTTTTAAAATTATGAAATGTGGGCTTAAAATTTAGAAAATTATGACTGAATTAATTCAATTAATTTTTATATTATAAATAACTGATTATGTCCTTAAATTTAATGTTTAATTTCCTTAAATAACTATAATTTTATAAGCTAAAAATATTTTAAAAAGAAATTTGAATTAAAAGAAAATCTCAAAAATTACCTGTAAGGTTTCCCATGAAAATTATGATATGTAAGTTAAACCTCCTTCGAGCATTCCCTATTTTACCCTAGCCTCCATAAAACCATCGAACTGGGCGCCCTCACCCGTTTGGGTGGTGTTCATTCGGGTTCGTCGCAGTTCGGTACTCCTCGGTCTTTATCTCGCCGGGTGCCTCGGTTCGATTGTTCGACTTGGTTCGCACGGACACAATGCCACTTGCTACACAAACCTATATATCTATATATATTTGTGTTTGTTTGTATTCAGGGGTTTCACGTGCCATTGCGCATGTGAGAATGCCACGGGAGTGCAGCCGGACTCGAACTTGGATCCATTGCCTTCTTTAGCTTCTGGGCGCCTGTTCCATCGGCAGCGTGTTGCGTTCGTGTGTGACGTTCTGTGCGGCTTCGGACCGGGCTGAGCCGGGATCTGAAGGGGAAATCGGACCAAGACCGAAACCGATACCGAAACACCAATAGCCGGGAGCAGGAGCAGGAGCTGGAGCACCCCGAGCGTAGTCCTGTCTGCTCGGTGTGCTGGTAATTGCAGGACCCCAGCCTTGTTGTGCACACATTTGCTTAACTGGACTTGATTAGGTTTTCGAGGTTAGATACATTACGAATTATTCAGCGCACAGCAGGGGGTGGGTGGGGCAAAATGTGCCACCCAAAAATCTCCACTTCTCGGCTCTGCTCGAGGTCCCGGCAAGTGGGGAACGGGATCTCAGCCGATCCAACCCCACTTGTTTGGGTTGCGAGCGAATGTTCGTTGGTGGTCCGCCCTGTTTGTGTGCGTTCATTGAATTATTTCAACCATGCCGAGCATTTATTTGCACTGAAACAAAAATTTGGGTCAATGGGGAGTCAATGAGGGGGATAAATAAATTACAAATTATGTTTTACAGTTCATGAAATACGGGGTATTTTGATTTTAGTCAGAAAGAGTTATATTCTTCCCTATAAGCCTTATCAAATAAACCTTCTTGTTTAATTAAAATTAATTAAAATTAAACAAAGTTGAGATTATCTATACAATTTAGTAGTTTTTTTTTATTATAATATCAAAAGTATATATACTTTATATATTTTAACTTATTATTCTAAACTCTAAACATTATGGTTTCCTTTTCTTTTCTTCTCCCCAAAACATATACATATAAAAATTATTATTTATTCTTCCATTTTTTATGGTGTAACAACAATTATTGTATGAGTTTCTGGTTGAACTTGCTCAGCTGCTACTGCTTTTTTGATTGTGTTGTAATTGCGTTAGGATGCGAACTTTGTTATCCTTGCCACGTAGCACATAATTGTAACCATTAATATTTTATTGGGTGGTGGTTGCTGTCCCTGTCATTGGTACAGCCTTCTTTTCTTTTCCTTACTGCTTACAAAGGGGGGGAAGTTTAATTAATCGACGACCGATGCTCTTATTGTTCCAGTGCCCAGTCAAAATATTTGACTTGTAGATGCGCCTCTAATTGAGTGGCCCCCCGACCCATTATTCTACGACTTTTCCGGCAAGAAGTTAATGCTGGAAACCCAAAGTGAAAGTTGTTTTTGACCAACTGCTGCTGCTGCTGCTATTGTTTTGTTGTTCCGCCCCGTGTTCTGTTCGTGGCTCTGCCCATCTGGCAGGATCTGCACGAAAATGATGTAAACCTAATTAAATTTCCAATAGAACAAACGCTGCTGCCGCCCCTCGATGGAGTTCCCGGTGGTTCCTGGTGGTGTGGGGCAGCAACTTTTAGGATGGCAGCCAGATAATTGCCAGATTGCGTCATGCGAGTGACTTTTCCGACCGCCCTTCCTCGCTTCCTTTCCCCATTAGCCCATATCCTCTCCGTAGCAGTTGGAAAAGCTATCAACTTTAATGGAATGGGATGGGAGGCCTTCAAAGTGGTTCTACAAGAGACTTTCTGACCTGCCGGGCAAATTGACCAAGACAGATCAAAGAACTCCTCGGGAGGAACTTTCTATGGTTGCTTGTTAGTAGCTAACTTTTGTGATTTATTGGTTTACAATTTGCTAAAAATAATATAGTAGAAATATTTTGACTTTAATTATCATTTTGTAATAATCTTTTAATATTTAAGATAAGACTTGACATAGTTGAGACTGGTGTTTAGCCAAAAAGAATTTAATTATTAGAAAATTCAAAGAAAAAGTTTATAGAAAAACAACTAAACAAAATATAAACCATACTATTTATATAAAAAGTTAACTTAATTTATTCCAAGTCTTACAAATTCAACCTAGATACTTCATTCAGTTCTATAAGAAATGTTTCTTTTTCATTGACATCCTTAAATTCTATTAGCTTAAAGATCCCTGTGCCAAATCAGCATAGATATATCGCTTAGTAATTCCATTATCGAAGGAAACACACAAGTGGCCGTTGCCGAACACAACACAAATCTTCCCCTAATAAAATTGGATATATATTTACCGAAGGGCCCGCCTCCTTCCAGGAATCCCCGCAAAATAAAGCAAAATCCAAAGGCATCTCCAACAAGGCGAAAATTATCGAAATGACAAAACGAAAGTGAGTGAACCGCCATGCCTCCGCCTCCTTTGGAAAAGTTGCTCTGTGTGTGTGTGCTATG